TTAATTAGATATATGTATTCTATATATTTTCTTGTATATATATATATATATGTATGTATGCATTACTATATGCATGGATCTACATATACGATTTATGTATCCTATTATAGCCGTATATTCACATATTATATATATGCATATATATATATATATCGATAGTTTCTACTTGTAGATACTGTATGTATTGGACGAATGTGCATATGATGCTATCTAGCAGTTACTGTATAGTATTACAACAACCGGAACGCTTTATTGATCACTTTGTTCTGCAGGATTTGGATGATCTCGACCTCTTTGGAGGCTTCGCGAGTGATTCCGGGACGAAACCGGTACCACGTGCGGCGAAGCGTGATCGCAAAGTAGCGGTTAAGGCGGATGTTAAGAAGGTATGATATGTTGGTCTTTGGTGTCGATGTGGATTGTGTGTTGTAGATAAATAGTATTGATTTGTAATACAATCCATCTCGGATGTTCTCGATGAACTCTAGCCCACCCGCTCATAGACATGATCAGACGTACATGGAGCTACAGCAAGAGTGCTTGCTTTGATTAAAAACGTTCACATAAAGGTACAATACGCATCTTTCTAATACTCCCAACGATGCATATGCGACCTTAACTACTCAAACGGACGTGTTTGACGTTTACTTCCCAATGCACAGGCCAAGCTCTCGGCACCCTCGCCCAAGGTAGAGGAGATCAAGGAAGACTCAGTAGACAGCAAGAATGATGCGATCGACAGAGAAGACGCAGAGATGGGTATAAAGATAGACGCACCCAAAGGGTTTAAGCCAATGCTGACCGACTCGATTGTGTTGGATACAGAGACAACGGCTGGGTGTAAGCATCAGGTGGCCGTGCCTGTGGACTACGACTATGTCCCACTGTCAGAGCATCAGCCGCCGGCTGAGCCGGCGAAAACATATCCTTTGTAAGTAGTATATTTATGTATTTGTATACGTATATGTATATGCATACGTTTATGTATAAGTTTAAGTATATGTATATGCATATGTATCTAATATATATATATATATATATATAAATATATAGTCTACGGCCATAACTAGCGCACGCATTCGAACACTCATCATAAAGATTGATGTATCACTGTGTCATTCCCAACCTGTGCATGTCTATGATATATCTACACACACACTATATATATATATATATATATATGTGTGTGTGTGTGTGTGTAAGGCCATAGTAAGCGCGTGGCCGTATTAGAACGCATTGTTAACCTATACCTATATCCAACACACGCGTCTCTCGCACACAGCACTCTAGACACCTTCCAGTCACAAGCGGTCAAGTGCCTTGAGCGTAACGAGAGTGTGTTGGTGTCTGCTCACACGTCCGCGGGTAAGACCGTGGTAGCGGAGTATGCCATAGCCATGTCACTACGAGACAAACAGCGAGTCATCTACACCACTCCTATCAAAGCATTGTCCAATCAGAAGTTCCGAGAGTTTACGGAAGAGTTTGGGGATGTGGGGCTCATGACAGGTGATGTCACAATCAACCCCACCGCGTCAGTGCTGGTGATGACGACCGAGATTTTGCGATCCATGTTGTACAGAGGTGCGTATGTGGGCACACGTCTTGGCTCTCTGAGAGTATACATACTATATATATATATATTTATATATTTATATATTTATATATTTATATACATACATACATACATATACACACACACACGTATATATATATATATATATATGTGTGTGTGTGTGTGTGTATATGTATATTTATATACATACATATATATATATATATATACATATATTTATATATATATGCACGTTGTCTTTATATTCTGTGGTCAATGTTTTGCAGAGGTGTATGCGTGTATATGTCTTGACTATCTATGAGTACTGACTGCATTGTATGTTCATCTTGAGTGATATTGAGTTCGTAGATCAAGTATATATAATTATGCTGTTCCACGCACATACGCAAAACGAATACACATCACTAATCCGCCACGCTATTCACAACTATTACTCGACTAATACACAGGATCGTGCGTAGATCAAGTATATATTAATGTCTCGTCTCACACTTACGCAACAAACCTACGCCTCACACTTACGCAACACACCTACGCCAAACTAATCCGCCACATTATTCACAACACTATTTCCCAACGAATTCATAGGATCATTACTAATTTTTAACTAACTAATACCCAGGATCGGAGATTATGCGAGAGATCGGTTGGGTGGTGTTCGATGAGGTGCACTACATGAGAGACAGAGAGCGTGGAGTGGTCTGGGAGGAGACACTGATTTTACTACCAGGTATGGTGTCCGTTAAAACGTGCGTATTAGGTAGTACGAACGTATCCGTTAATACGTACGTATATGCAGGATATAGTATCGTTCGTGGCCTGTGCATTCATACAGTGATGCTGGACGCTGAACTATACTACCAGGTATGGTATTTGTTAATACGTACGTATCCGTCAGTACGTACGTATCTGCGGGATATAGTATCGTTCGATACCTGTGTATATATATAGTGATGCTGGACCTTGAACTTACTACCAGGTGTGGTATCCGTTAATACGTACCACAGCGTCTGATGCGAATGCCAGCTTGTGACCCTCATACAAATACATACCATCCGTTTTCTTAACATTTTCAAAGTATTACAACAAACCGTCAAAACGTTGCGACACCTTGAGTGAGTACTGATATGGCCTTGTCCCCTCTCCCTCTCCGCTTAAACCCAAAACCCAACCCACAGATAACATCCATCACGTCTTCTTATCCGCTACGATCCCCAATGCGATTGAGTTCGCCAGATGGATCTGCCAACTGCACAAACAACCGTGCCATGTGGTATACACTGACTACCGTCCCACGCCACTGCAACACTACATATTCCCCGCAGGGGGAGATGGGCTGTATCTGGTAGTAGATGAGAATGGTATGGCGATATATATATATATATATATAATACATATATATATATATTGCTGTTATTATTGTTATTGTCATTCTTATTTTTAAAAGTATTTTTTCTATTTTTTTATTGTTACGATTATTGTTATTATTATGCAACCCTCCAGTAAATATGCCCGTGGGCGGGAAACTGCACATATACGCCTCATCGTTGTGTGAGTGTGTGGGTACTCAACCCTCCATGCTCAGCCTATATCCACAACCACCAAACGAAGCACACACAAGCACATCACCCACACCTACCATACTTACCCTCCCACACCCCCTTACACCCCCACCACTACCCTCCCACAGGCACCTTCAAAGACGCCAACTTCAACAAAGCCATGGCATCACTCACGGACACCAAAGACAATGCTGGAAAGGCGGCCGCAGGGGGTAAAGGGAAGGCGAAGAACACGGGTGCGACATCCGATATATACAAGATTGTGAAGATGATCATGGACAAGGCATACCAACCCGTCATTGTCTTCAGTTTTAGAAAGAGAGAGTGTGAAGCCTATGCACTGCAGCTGTCGAAGTTGGACTTCAACAGCGAGGTGGGTGTGTGTGTGTGTGCGTGCGTTGATATATATATATCTAGTATATTAGTCTAATAAAACGGCACGCCCATCTCAACTGGCCACATCCCCACCCAATAAATGCACAGGAAGAACCCCCTTAACCCTAAAACCGTAAATCACCAGTAGCACCGTAGCTTATATGCTTGTCTAATACAACAGAACACCCATCTCAACCGCCCCAATCGAGGCACAGGAAGAACCCTAAACCCTAAACCCCACCCATTCAATACACAGGAAGACAAAGAAGTCGTTGACCAGATTGTGGAGAACGCGTTAGAAGGTCTGAGCGAAGAGGACCGCAAACTGCCACAGGTGGAACACATTAAACCGCTGCTGCGCCGAGGTATTGGCATCCATCACGGAGGTCTACTTCCTCTGCTGAAAGAAATGATTGAGATTCTGTTCCAAGAGGGACTCATAAAGGTACTGTGTGTTTCAGGGTTTATATTGTTAATCAAAAAGTATTTATAAAGGTATTGTGTGTGTTGATTGAGATTCTGTTCCAAGAGAGACTCATAAAGGTATTGGGTTTATATTGTTTTGCAGAAAGAGCTCATAAAGGTAATACGAGTGTTGATTGAGATTCTGTTCCAAGAGGGACTCATAAAAGTATTGTGCGTGTTGATTGAGAATAAAGGTATTGTGTGTTTTAGGGTTTATATTGTTTTCCAGAAAGGTCTCATAAAGGTATTGTGTGTGTTGATTGAGATTCTGTTCCAGGGGGACTTATAAAGTTATTGTGTGCGTGTTGGTTAAGATTGTGTCCAAGAAGGGGGGATAGAGATGTTGTGTGTGTTGAGATTCTTTTTCGAGAAAGACTTGTGTAAGTATTGAGTGTGTTGACTGATTAATTCTTTCTTAAGTAAGGCTTATGTGGGTATTGTGCGTGTGTGTGTGTTGTGTGACTCTTGACGACCGTAATGTGTGCGTGTGTATCAGTTCGTAGCAGGTTGGCATCGTCTGGGTGAGTCTTTCTACATTTTGTTTTTGAATACTCTCATTTCAAATTTACTGCATAATGCTGAAAAAATGCTGAAAATGGGACACAAGTGAAGCTATTTTTAAGACCAACTCGTGGACATACACGTTCATAGTTGTGGAAACGTGAGCCTTCTCACATTCTATTTTTTAAACAAATTCCTCCAATTGAAGTTCTAATCGGTTGTTATTCGTTGGCCAATCGGATGCATTGTAGTTGCATTATTAATTGATTATTATTGGGTTGTCAATCACAGGCGCTGTTTGCCACAGAGACTTTCGCCATGGGACTGAATATGCCTGCGCGAACAGTCGTGTTCACAAGTGTGAGGAAGTTCGACGGTATGTTGTCTGTATCGCATCCAGTCTACTTTTCCTAATTTGGTCTAAAATACGCGCCAGTTTTCTCTCTCTCCTAATTTGGTGTACAATACGCGCCACTTTGTGTGTTCGTGAATGTGGGGACGCGCGCCCCTTTTTCCTAATTTGGTTTAATGCCCGTGCAACTCAGCTACTGCAAGGCTGTGCTCGGGTTTTTGGTCTAATCTATATTTGTCTCCTTTCGGCTCATTCTTAGGGCTTAGGGGCTGGTGCCAAGTGTTGAAACGTCTTAAGGTCCTATTTACTTTGTTTTGTATTTTTTTGTTCTGAATGAAAACCAACGGGTCATACGCTTACGATCGGCATGTAAGTGGTTCTAAAACGACCATGGACAATATATCGATATTTTCATACTTTGGCTATATATATATATATATAAACACAAACATATATATATATATATATATATATATATATATATATACTAATAATAAATAATATATATATATATATATATATATATTTATATTTATATATATATAGACACGACTTTTCTCCAGTGAGGGATTTCATATCTTGGTCCAAGCTAATACGAAGTTCGGAACATCACAGGTCAACAGATGCGCTATGTCACTGGCGGTGAATACATTCAGATGTCCGGTCGTGCCGGACGTCGTGGCCTCGACAAACAGGGAATAGTTATACAAATGGTAAGTCAGTACACACGCACATATTTATATGTACCATGTACATGTATATATATGTATGTATATATATATATGTGTGTGTGTACATGTATATGTATACGTATATATATATATATATATATATATATATATACAGACACACACTCATATATATGTATATATACATATATACACACACATACATATATATATATCTATATCTATAGATATTTGTGTATGTGTGTGTCACAATACCTGGCACACTCATTAACGTACCTGTCTACTGTTTGCACCGTATAGCTGGATGAGAAGATGTCCTCACTACCTAAATATATATACTATACCTACCACACCCAATCCACGTATCTGACCAGCCTGGGCAATTTCGGTCCTTTTTGCACCGCCCAGGTGGACGAGAAAATGGAGCCAGATGTGGCCATGAACCTGCTAAGGGGTGGGGCGGATAAGCTCACCTCGGCCTTCCATATCACATACAACATGCTGCTCAATCTACTGAGAATAGAGGAGTTGAACCCGGAGTACATGCTAGAACGTTCCTTCCTGCAGTTTCAACACCGCATCGCAGTGCCTGAGCTGCAAAGGCGTATGTGTTATCAAACGGTTTAACGCTTTGTCGAGATTGTTTACGTGCTTTTCAGCTGATAGTTGTTGTTGTTTGTCGAGATTGTTGATGTGCCTTTCAGCTGATAGTTATAGTTGTTTATCGAGATTGTTGATGTGCTTTTCAGCTGATAGTTATAGTTGACAGGGTACTCGATCACCTCGGACCGGATGTCATATTGGCGCTGTTAAAGATAGTGTACGGTGTGATGTGTATGTGTGGTGTTGCGGCCTTGTAGGGAGATACGGTTATTTGAAAGTGTATCGATGTTTTAGGGTTTTGGTATTGATGTTTTGGTAGTGATGACTAACACAGATATGTGTGTGGAGACACGCTCCTGGATTTCGAAAACATTTATATGATATATTAATGAACCACTCAATCGACATGTGGATTACATATCTTGTGTGGTAGACACAGCTTCCAAAACGGAAATGTGTATACTGATGAACTACGTCTTGGCAACGTATGGAAAGAGGAATCGCTATAGACGAATATTGTGAATGGTCCGTAGTGACGTTCAGAACGTTTACTGTCGAATCTTAATGCGTGTGTGGGAGAGATAGTAATGACCAATCACTTGATGTAAACGCATTGGTACCCACCCCCTTTCTCTTGTACTTAGGTCCGGAACGTTTACTGTCGAATCTCAATTAGTGATGGGCAATATAACGCACACCGGTATACACCGGTTTTAGGTTGTATAAAACCTTCACAATATCATATATACCACACCTCACAACCCAATCTCTAGGCCTGGCGGAGCTCAGCGAATCAAAAAACGCCTTTATCATCGAGAACGAACCCATTGTAGACGAGTACTGCCAAATCCGCACCCAGCTGACCAAGTGCCAAACGGAGATACACGCCATAGTCACACAGCCTGAGCACGTGGTCCCGTTTTTGCAACCGGGACGGCTGGCCCGGATAAAGGAGGATGAAGTGGATTACGGGTGGGGGTGCATCGTCAATTTCCAGAAGAAGTTGAAGGTAGGTGGAGCTGTTGGGATGAATGTAGGTACATATACTCTGCGGTTGTATCTACGTGCATGACTTTCTATTTCGTACCTGTTGTGGTTATATGTGTGTGTGTATGGTATCTCTTCAGAAGGAGCTGTGGATGTTATGTAGTGTGAGGTGCTGTTGTGGTGTGGCGTGCGAGTGCTCGTAGGCTTCTGTTCTTAAAATCGGTGCAGACCCTTTGTACCAACCATGACTCATCAGCCTTACTTGGTCTTCGCATATATATATATATGTGTGTGTGTGTGTCTATATATATAACACAGGGGAGCAAAGGCACGATTAGCGCTAATCCTCAGGACGTTACCTACATAGTCGAGGTGCTGTTGCTCGTCACAAAGCAGAAGGGTGTGTCTTCTAAACCGGTACCCTTTACCGGGAAGGGAACTGGTAAGGATACGGGAGAGATGGTGGTAGTGCCAGTTACACTACAGTCGCTGCACAGTATAAGCGTGGTCAGGATACACACGCCCAACGACCTAACTAAGCCAGAGCATCTGCGTAAGGTGGAGAAGAGTATTGCGGAAATGAAGGTGAGATGTATGACGTATGGCTTGCTGGTGTCCTGTACTAGTCTCTTGGTATTTGGGTGCAGATGTGTGTTCAATCCGTGTGTAGAAGTATGCAAGTGCTTTGTGTGTGTGTGTGTGTGAACACTTGTATACGCATCCAGGTACACGTATGTAAAACAGCATGCATATGCATATACATATATACGTGTAGTTATATATATATATATGTGTGTGTGTGTGTGGATATATAAATATACATATATGGAATTATTGGGATGTGTCGATAAGAGACATATTGCATATCGATGTACACGCCATTACGTTGAGCGTAGTTGGTTGTTTCATCTCCCAAAGCATTCGGTTACGATTCATCATTCGATATGCTCTACTGTTGCCATGGTGCCATTAAAGTCGGCGGCATTCAAATGCAGGCAAATAGTTAGGACTGATCTCATGCCACATGAGCCTGTGCGCGAGACTTCGAAACCACATACGTCAGTGATCTTAGACGTATAAGGAAACCCAAATCATAGTAAGGGTTCTACCATTAGACTGCTTCTATGAGACCCTACCCTAAACCCTAAAACCCTGAAAACCTTTAAGTGATCCTAGACATGTAAGGAAAAACAAATCATATGGTTTGGGTCACACACCTGGGAGTAAGGGTTCTACTATTAGACGGCTCTTATGAGTATCTACGAATGTCAGGCGCATCCGATCAATCCCACTCGCTAACCCCTGTGGAACCCCCTAGCTCTCTAAATTTCGACCCTTTACCCCCCACCCCCCCTTAGTTCCTCGTCCCCAAATTCCACCAATGCTAATACCAATACCAATAACCCCCGCATCTATTTTTTCTATTTATCCAATTTGTTCTATTTATAGATCAGGTTTCCCGACGGACTGCCCCTGCTAGACCCTGTGGAAGACATGCGCATTCAATCGACCACGCTTGACAACCTCACCCAACGGGTGGAAACACTGGAGAAGCGTCTGTACGCGCACGTGCTGCACAATGACGACAGCGCCAAGGACGCGTTTGCCCAGCACGCCCTCAAGGCTAAGGTGCTGCAAGAGATAGAGAGTGTGGAAAAGGAGCTCAAGAAGACCAACACCGTGGTGGAGATGGGAGACCTGAAGATGCGTAAACGGGTGCTGCGGAGGCTCGGGTATACCTTGCCCGGTGATGTGATTGATTTGAAGGGGCGTGTGGCCTGTGAGATATCTACCGGAGATGAGTTGCTGTTGTCGGAGATGATATTTAACGGCGTTTATAACGATCTGAGCGTTGAGCAGTGTACGGCCTTGCTGACCTGCTTTGTGTTTCAAGAAAAGTATGTGGGGTTTGTTGTGTGGTGAGGGTGAAGGGAGGGTATGGTGTAGGGGCACTATCAACAGATACGTCGATGTTGTGAGGAGTTATATGGATAGATAGATATGGGGTTGTTGATGAAATATATGTGGTTGTTGATTACTTATATGGATAGATATACATGATATTGTTCAAGAATTATATATATATATATATATACATATAATATATATATACACATATATATATATATATATATATATATATATTTATTTATTATTATATATATATATTATATATATAATATATATATATATATATATA